TGCGTATTGAAGAGTATGAAAATGGTGTAGTGTAAAAGCGGTATGCCAGTAGTTCCGGTGCATCTCTGAGTACAGTCTTCAATGCTCAGAGCTATGCTGAGATTTTCAGTTTTTAGCTTATAAACTAATCCTACTTATCCTAATGAGTTTCCTTCGCCGTGCTGGTTTTTAAGGAAGTTTCGGGTGTCCAATAGCGTCCATTCCCTTTTCGTAAACACATCTATTTCTGAGGCATTTTGCGAATTTCCTTTAGAAAACCTCATTACCAAATTGCTGCATCGCTCCATAACAACAACCGCTCTGCGCGGAAGATCTAATGAACGTACTAGATACTATTATGACATGGAATTCATTATTGTTTACCGTTAACTTCCATCCAGGCCTTCACAACACTCGGCTTTTTATCTTCGATTAATTACGGAATAATTAAAAATCAAGCAAAATACTGAAAATACAAAATGAACCTCACCACAAATAAAATTTCAACGAATCAGCAATCAGCCACGGCATTACGATGTGGCAGCAGTGATCGGAAGCAGTGTTACCCAGTAAATATGAATGATCAGCTGTTTTATACTGGTATGGTTATTGCTCCTCTATCAACTTACAGTTACATAATCTCCGAATACCATCCCCAAAAATTGAGCATTATCTAACCTCGAGCCGAGCCGTGGTGGCGAACGTTGACAGTCATACCTTCCGGTCGTTCCGGGCATTTTTTACGCGGCGCGCGGCTTAAACGGATGAGTCGAAGTCGCTAGTTTTAGCAGCGTTCCTCGCGTTCAAACCTTTTGGGTTGTCCGACGCGCAATGGTTTCGACGCTAAAATCCTAAATTTTGAAGCGTCGAAACCACCAAAAACTTTCACAGAAAAATAAACAAAAATTCTCTGAGAAAAAAATTAGTAAAATTTTCATCTTAGAAAAAGCATTCAGCGGGCAGAGCTTTCAGCTCAGACCAACTTTCAAAATGAAGGAAAACGAATTTTTCCAATTGCGATCACCACTCGGCCCTCGCAGTGTGCTTTTAGCATGAAATAAAAACACCTCCTAAAAATCCTTTGGTCAATCAAATTGTCAATTTGCTGGAAAGACATCAATAGGGGAGGAGGGGAGCTCGTCTGGAGATTACTCCGCGGCTACCAAGCGCCGTACTGTACCTTTTTGTTAAATATTGAATATGCCCCCCCCCCACCCCCCCTTAAAAACGAAAAATCTTCAATCTCCACTTACCTTGAACTTCAGCGGCAACTGTACCTTGGACAATTACATACTCAGGAAGAAAGCAAATAATGAGCGCAGTCGGAGCGTCATCGATGTGCGCCTACATACATAATGTGTCTCTACATGCCTAGAAACATACAGACTTATGTACATTCAGTATATGAGCACAAATATTTTGAGCGACAAAACTTTATCTCCCTTACCCCAGATTTAATAGTTGTTGCAACATACCTGCATATACGATTCCACCCAAAGATCAGCAATTTCATACTTCTGCCACTCAGTTCTATAGTACGTTCGTAGTTGAAGCGGTATATGGAATTTTTAAGTAGAAGAACTAAGCTACACAAAATATTTGCCCGCACATACATACTCACCTCAGCTTCAGCACAACATTTCGTATGCTCACTAAAGTGCACTTTTGTTGTCAATTCATTGGGGGTAACTAAAAATAGCACAACTCGAAATAACATTTAATCTTTTTTCTTGATCGCTGAAGTTCAAATTTCAAATCTGCGTACACACTTGCATACATACTCGTATATACCGTAGTCAGCCTGCGACAGCATCAGAGAAAACTGTCATTTTGTGATGTTGCAACATCGCATGCGCAGCCTAGCCAAAGGTATTACAGCAGCTTATAGGGTTGTACGAAGGTATGTACTGCACATATGCCACTGTAAATACCAACAAACTCTTCCACACTCCATTGGGGGCCCTGTGACATAAAAATAATTGCTTCCGAAAGTCAACAGCGTGGCAAATGATAACACAAAGCAGTTGTCTGCAGCTTCCTTCGTAAGCTAAGTTGCGTTTTGTTGTCACAAAAAAAAAAAAAAAAACAAAATTCAACTGCATATTGAACTACATATACATACATACATATCGTACATTTGTACATTTGTACATTATTTCATGCTGCAACACAGCTCAAAACTCTCAAGACTCCCTTAGCAACAACACTCGCGCGCTCGCCACATCAAACGTTCTACAGTTCGTTGCCTCATTTTCGTGTTTGAAAATCTGTTTTCATTTACAATTTTTATTTTTTTCCTGCCTCTGCTGCTGACTCTGCTTCTTTTCAGCTTGCTTCCTTTCGTCCGACATGGTTCTCCACTTTCTCACCGCTTTAACGGTAAAGCAGCTTCCCATGTACACCCGCAACGCCGACATCGCCCTCAAACATCGTTCGACTCGCAGCAACAAAAAGAACAATAGCAATTGCATTACCAAATGGTGCATTAAGTGAATTATATTTTCATCCGGTTCGCGGTCTGCTCCACGGCGGGCTGCACTGTGTCGCACAACGCCCTGTTGTTGTTGTGCCTGCGGCATGGCGCAGCATATGTGCGCACGCGTGCCATGCAACCATCGACCGCGCGTTGTCAATCCTTAGCGAGCTGTGGAGCCGGCGGCTGCAGGCATTTCGTGTCGCTTTTAATTGTTGCAAGCATCAAGAGCAAGAGCCGCTGCCCGCCTGTGGGCTGCGTCAGGCAACTTCAGTGGCAAGGCAGCGGCAACAGCAAGAAGAAGAAAAATGAATTAACAGCTGCGCGCATGTGTGCTCTAGTGCAGTGGGTGCCAGCGCCAATCACACACTCACAAGCTCACACACACACTTACAAAGTCACAGTTCTTTGTTGCGTGCAAACGGAATACATACTTATATATACATAACTGTCAGCATCGATACTCCCGCGCCTCTGTGACATTCCCATCTCAACGTCAAGTACCCAGCCAACGCTCCACCCAGCCAACCACCTTTCATCTCTCCTCAGCTTCATATTCTCCTCCTCCCCCATGCCTATTTTTATTACATGAGCCTGCTGCGAGCTGGCTGCTGGTGTTGCGCCACATTCTTTTGGCACTCCTGCGAAGCCAAATGCATTTAACTGTCGGCTAATTATTTTTAAAACAATCCTCACATTGACTTTGCGGGCACACATGCCGTTGACGGCTAAAGGTTAGTGCCGCGCCACATCCATCGGTGGCGTCGTTGGCTATTTTTACATAGTATGCGCGTCCGTCCGCCCTGACATGCGCACAGCGATCTCGTGTAACGGCAACTCGAGTCCACCGCCGTTGTTGGTGTTGTTGGCATTGTTGGCGTTTCATTATAGCGCACATATGGTGCAAATATGACTAAACTCTTTTGGATATGGACATACATGCTCATACAAAGATGTATATATGTGTATGTGGTGCACTGTAAATAAATCTTTATGTGAGTAAAAGGAAGACAATAAAAGCTTGCAAAAGTCAAAATAGTCTATTTAAATTTTTAATTGAAAGAGATGCTATTAAAAATAATTTACGAGGACTGTTCATAAACCTCATTTTTTTGAATTTTTTCCCCTTTCTGTATTCTATTATAATAATATAATTATAGTTGGCCCAATGACCCAACCTGACCTATTTCCTTTTCATTATAAATTCGACTATCGATTTCCTTTAGTGGTTCGACGGACTGGTAGTAATCAGAATCATTTCGTGATTCTGACATAGAAACCGTCAAAGCTTCTCCTGACAACACACAACAAACACACAGTGGATGCAGAAAAATTCTAAGACTTGCCTCCAGAACGCTCATCGGATAGGGCCCAGTCAGATTTTCTACAATGTGTCAGAGTTTTAGTGTTGCGATGAAAAGGACCTTCCCAGCTCTTACCCGGTACGTCAATTGACCAGAAGAATCTCGCAAGCGCGCATGTGAACGCGCGGTGATGTGGTTCAGGGCTCAGTCCAAGGAAGACCACACATTTCAGATTAGCGAAGCGGAAAACATCAGACTTTGTGTCCAATTCATAGTCCAGGCAGTTGGGGTGAAATCAAGATCATCAGCCATCCCAGCTCGGGCTCTTTAATTAGTCAATTTCAATAGAGATTGGCGGCCGCAGATGCCGAGTGGTTAGCATAACCAAGAGTAGCGGTAGTTCGTGAGCTAAGATTTTGTCCCAAGCAGTGCGGTTTCGAACGTTTTTCTACGAAATAAGTTAATTACAAAGTAAACTCGTTGGCGTTAACATAGAATGCAAAATTAATTAAAAAAAAATTAATTTAATTACTTTTTATGGATGGGGAGGCTTTATGTGGAGTTGATAGGGCTACTTAACTTGACTTAACTGCAGCGCTAGCCGCTCTTCTTCATTATTTATTTTATTCGTGAGAGCGAAGCACTTTTTGATTTTGATTTTGATTTTTTTTGGATTTGATTTTTGATTCGGTCCAAATAAAAAAAATGTCGGAATGAGAGCAGTTTATCCAATATCTGCACCTTGTTTGGGAACAGTCAGCATAGGAAAGGTGATTAATTTAGCACGGAAAACTACCAATCGCTTTAATATAAAATATAATTGCGTTATAGGAATTATTTTATGGTTGTTTAACCTGATTATATGTCCTATAATACGCCATCCCTATTGGTTTGTATCTCTACTATTTTATACTCAAGAGTGAGGTGCGTGTTACTGCTTATTTTACTTAAAGTTTAGACAAGAACCAAATCAACCATGAATATGCTTTATGGCTAAGTACTTGCGGTAAAAAATACGTGCTAAACATATTTGCGGCAAATTTGAATTTGTAAATTATTATAGCATCTTTTGGGCCCTGAACTTCGCTAAAGCAGAATTCAAAAAATTTTTCCGTTGCTCAAAAACTTTTTAATATAAAAAAAAATAATAATTTTTATTCTAAAAAAAAAAAAACAAATATTCAATTATGCATTTTGAAATTTAAATACATGCATTTATTTATTTCGCATTTTTCTATTTTCAGATTATTTATGGTGCTGATGGTCAACCGATACGTGCGGAGAAACGCGGACGTGGTAAAGCGCGCAACGTCACAGGCAATGGGACACCAACAACTGGGGTAAGTCCATGCATCCTTTCATAAGATTTCTTTCAATACATATAAGATTATGACACAGCATAGGGAAATTTATACGTGGAATATAAAATGAAACCAATAAGAAGCCTTCTATGAACTTGTAGACTATTCGAGAACTTTTTAAACCTGTCTCAAGGCTTGGGAAAAATATTAACTCTCAGTCGTTAGACAATTTCCAGTTGGCTTTCGGCAAACACCTCAACTTTTCTGTGAATTTCCATAGACGCCAACGAAACGAAATGAAATTTGTAATATGGAAAAAGCGCAAACTCATCGTCAACCTTAATTTTAAAACGGCTGCTTGCTATGATATAACAGCTCACTGCAATTTTAACTTTTAACATTATCTGTTAACGATTTAACATTAACGATTGCACTTCGCATCGGCCGGGGTTGGCAATTGCTGTAACAGTAACATTTCCGAATGTTTCAACCGAGTCTATTGAAATTTTTTAATTACCGCGAAATCGTTGTGATGTAGAGTTAATTTTAGTCAAATTTCTGTGAAAGATACAAAAAAAAAATTTACTTTTAATTTCGCTTAATTTCCGGTTGGAAACATATTTCCGCTTTTAGAGATACTTTTCACATCAGCTTTGTTTAAAAAATGTTTAAAAATATGTATTTTATTTAATTTATGCTCAAATTATTAAAGCAAACCCTTGAGTAGTTTATTTCTTTGAACTCGTTATTTTATTAATATGAGGCAGGGCGACGATTCTGATCAAAATAACTCTGAGGAAAGAAAAAGATTCTGCTTTCAATATCAATTCCGTTTTAATCAACAATTTAATCAACATCTGTTGTGGCGCCTCAGCGAACCTAACTGATTTCCAAAGCCAAAATCTTGCCACCTCAAGAGCTATAATTGCTTCTGTCTGTGTGTACATGTATGACATTGTTATTGAAACTCCCACCAAAATGAATATTTTCATGACTTTTTATAACTTATTAATGATGAAGTTGACTGTATTTGACTTGTCGTTGTTGTGCGGAGATAATTAAAGTTCAAAAGGTATTGTTATAGCAAACAAATGAGTGCCAGACTCAAGTTACACACGTAAGCACACACATTTGCATATGTATACGCAGCAGTGAAGAATTACATTGGTTGGAAAAAGTACTAGTTTCATACTAAAATTGCCCCCCAGACGAACTAGTCCGAAAAGTAACGAAATAGTTCTAATTAAAAAACCAAACTTTTTTCCCACTTAATTCAGTATTTTTATTTTAATCTCAAGGAGTTTGTTTTCCAATGAGTTGAAATTATAAATCTGCTGATATCCAATGTGAGAAGCGAACGTTCTTATTTTAATTGGATAGCAGTCCAGCCTATTTAAATATCGAAGTTTACCAAAAACTATTATTAATTTTCCTTCATACCTCTTTAAAGAAAACAAAACATGATTCGGTGTTCGAAATTGAACTCGACAATTTTCGATCCATTTTGAACTAGTATGAAACTAGTAACTTTCTGACCAAAACCTGACATTCGCTATTTCTTACTGCTTTCTTGTGTGTCGATTGTGGATGTAGTTTTCAACTAGTTCAGTTGGCGAAAGTAACTGTAATAACTTCGAATTCTACTTGTCGGCTGCCAATTCGCAATTTTTATACATCGAGCCGAAAACATGTGTACTTACATACCTACATGACTATACATACATGGATTCATACAACCATATATCATATTATATGCACATTAAGTACTCACATTGGTGACGATGTCAATGGCAATGTCAAGGCGACGTCAACGTCAACATCATCGTGAAACGCACAATGGCCATGGCAACAACAGCAAAAAAGAATAGCAACCAAACAACCTTAGAAACGATGATGACGACGCGAAGACAATAAACTTTTTATTTCCACACCTCCGACTTTACAAATCGAGAGCTGCTGATGACAACAAAAGTTTAGCTCCGTCTACCGTTCCGATTTGTCTAGCAAAATGTCTAGCGTGCGTCTGCTGCTGCTGTTGGTGTTGTCGCTGATGTCGGTGTTGCTGCTGATGGCTACAAATTCATCAAGCACAGCCGGGCGAAGGTGGGTCCAACAGTCTCAGTTAGTCAGTCAGCACTAGGAAGATACATACGTTGTATGTATAGGCGTACATTTGTATGTGTCTATTGGTTGCGAAGGAGCGTAAAAATCCCAAAGTAAAGTAATCAAATGACATAGCAGTATAGAGACATTGCGTGCGGCATTTGCGAGTAAGGGTAACCCAGTCAGCCAGAGGATTTCCCAAGTTGCACAAGTCGCACAAACTTCACTTCGTGAGGAATGCCGAAAAAACTCGAAAAGCTGCTCAAGTCGCCTCAAAAAGGGTCCTCCATGAGGTTTCCCCGTTGTGAGAATTGATATTTATCTCCGTGAATTTCGCTTGGTGGTATTCATAAAAGCTACCGATGCTTCTTCAGTTGTCACTCTGAGGGTCTATTTTCTGTTCATAATAGGAATCCTTGGGGGAACTTCATAAAAGTTTCTGCAAGGCGTCGCTCTCAGGACCATTTGACCATTCTAGAGCTCATTGGAAATGTTTATTTGAGAACTCTCTTTTTATTGATGTCTGCTCTGAATCTGCAGCGCTCCGGAACCACTTTGACGTTGTGCTGCTATATAAAGTGATTTCTACTCCCAGACCAAGTCTCTCCTGAAGAGCTATATCGAGGTATCGTTATGAAGCTGCCTATTTACTATTCATCTAACTGGAAGAAATATACTTTTTCAGGTATGTAGAGCTCCAGAGAGACTTTCACGAGTTGTTGTTCATGACGGGACTCCCCTTTTACTCGAGAGGTGTGTGGGAGCTCCACTCTAGCACATGTTTGTTTGTAGAGCTTCTTTGAGATGCTGTTGTGGAGCATTTGTTTTATTCTAAACCTTTGGTTGGCTGGGCACAGGGAAGGGAATACTCCTCTCGCACCAATTACACCTGTTTTCTGCCAAGCTCCATTGTAATACATGAATACACGACGGCAAAGCTCATACACACTCCCTCTCATCCATAAACCCGTACCTAGACTCTCACATACACGAATGTGTAAGCCCATGCAAGCTTATCCCCTTGATATGTGCTCATATGTAAGTACACATAAGCGCAGATATGCCAACGCCCTCCTCACAACTCATCTTGTCGCGTGCGCAACTCGTCTCAGTCTTCCCATGGTAATCTCGTCTGCTGCCGTCGTGTCGCAATATTTCCGCGCTAACGCCTTTGGGTTTTAACGTCGCGAGGCAATAGTCTGCAATGATGTCGGTGATGATGTCGCTTCGTGCGCGGCGACATTTTGCAACAACAAAAGAAATAACAACAACATCATTAATAAAAAAAAGTATTTTTTAATAGCGAGGCAAATGGCAGAGCGGCGGGAAAACTGAGGCGCCACGAAGTGTACGCCTGTGTGGCAGGGAGGCCTGTGGATGAGGACGGATGGACAGACAGACTTAGAGCAGCAGACGTCAGCCAACAACGACCGGTCGGACGATCGTCCATTGGTGATGCGTCACCGCTTCGCACTTGACTTGGGCAAATGAACGCACTGTCCGTTCTTTCTTCCTTTTTTTCTTCAAGCACTCTCCCCACCACCACAGCATGGTTTTCTCTAGACGCCGCGGTGTATACCTGCAGACAGACACTTTTTTACCTTGCCATGCCGTGTCGTGTTAGCAATCAACAGCAACTCAGCAACTCAGCAGCTCTGGATACCGGTACATTCTTCCATTCATTTACTCGTTCATTCATTCCCACACTCATTGACTCGCGCTCGTTTTCTTTTGTGTCAAAGAAAATGCCGCCACATGACGTTTACAAATTGTTCATGTGTGTACGTGTGTTGCATTTGTGGCACATGCTACGTAGCTTTTGCGTTAGCAGCAACGAACAGCTAGCTGCTGGTTTGCCATAGCCGTACTGGTAGCCATTTAAAGCCCATTACCCTGGTCGCCCATTCACCCAGTTCGTTTTCTTGTCTTGCCACATTCACTGAGCACTCACTTGATCCACTTATGAAGTACCGCTGTGCGTTGTGTTTTATGCACGTACATGGGTATGTGCGCTGCAATGTGGCTGGCTTTGGTCTAGGTTGGATTGGCTGGACTTGCTAAGCACGGTCGCGTCCATTTGGCTCTTGAGTTTACAGAGTTTACAGCGAACGCGTGCTCGTATGCTGCCGCCCGGTTGATGACTCAATGTGGTGCGAACTGCATGTGTGTGGTTACTGCTTTTGGCTCTGCTCCATACAAAAGACGTAAAATCAAATAAACAGTTCAGTGGAGGTACTAAGTTGGAATTACAGTGTGTTCATTCGGATTTAAAGTTAAACGATATTAGTTTGGAGGAAAATTATGTTCCGTTGACAGTGAATTAACCGAGCTTGTAGGACTAGAAGGTCACATTTTAGGAAAACGTACCAAGTCACAGGCACAAACCATGAAAATTTGGTTGAAACACCTCTTAAAATCTCTAGGGATCTATAATCCCATTATAATACTTTAGTATCTACAGATAACCAAACTAAGCGCAGACCCGGCTTGATTGCCAGCGCCTCTAAACGTCTCAAGCCAAGCGAGCTCAGTACTATCCCAGCGAGACTCAGAGAAAAACATCTTATATTTATACACGAGTATGATATATATAAATAAAAAAATCAATAAAGTGAATTTCGACCTCCTCAAATGGTGGGACCACCTTTTTCTAAGTCTTCTCCGAACGCACAGTACACTCGGACGACTTGGCATTTCATGTCGAGGGGAACGGCAATTCGAAAACTAAATTTTTAAAACTAAATTTCTTTAATCTATGAAGTTGATTTGCCATGACTCTCCGCAAAATAGTACGCGGCTCTAGCCGCTCAGCTATAGAGACCGATAGAATTATGACCATCTCCTCTTCACTCCTAACCCACAGTGCGCAGTACAGAGCTTCGCCCAGACGACAGCAGGTAGACGGCAGTTAGCCATTAGTTTGTCAGCACAAGCCA